TAATGGGTAACTTACTGGTCTTGTTGGATTCTTCTAATCAAGCATATCCACAGACAGGAAGTGTGATGGCAATCACATCACCATTACATATGCACAAATGTTCCTTAACAGAGCAAGAGGCTGTATGAGGGGTTCTCCACATCCTGGATTCATCATAAAATATTCCAGTGTTTGTAGGAGTCCCTTAATAATGTTTCTCTCCAGGTGACCTCTTGCATGGACAGCTGCCAACCTAACAAATACTTAGCCAGAAGGATTAAGCATGGGCAAATACAAAATACATAGGAGACTGGTCATTGAAATGCAATTAGTTTTACATCATTGTCACTAAGATGTGGGGTCATTGATCCCAAATTCCTGATGGTACTAAATGGTATTAGTTTACACACCTGAAAACAGGCTCAATTTATGGGCTGTTTTTTCTTGATACACACGAGAAGACCTCTTGGCCATTTCTTTGTCTTCAGTTATACGAGATTCTCCTTAGGATCTGTTTCTCCTAGGATCCATTAATATCTTTGCACTATAAAGATACCAGAAACAGTTCACACTGGTGGGCCACTAGACACTTTGTTTACTTGCACATCCACTTGCAGCTCCCATTGGCTGCATTTCACTGTTCCTGGCTAACAGGAGCTGCAGGAAGTGGTGGCCGGGCCTATGCCACTTTCTGCAGCAACCATTGCCTGGAAAAGTCAGTGTCCAAAGGTGGCTGCGAGCAGTCATACCTGCGGATATGCAGGTAAACAAATAGTCTGGCGGGCGAACTGTATTCAGCCGACGGGCTGCTTTTTGCCCACCCCTGACATATCTGGTAATAAGATAAAATCATTAAAATACTAACTTACAGGATAAAGACATCCCAACATTATTAGGGTGAAGAAGTTAGATATGGACAAGGGAGGCTAGGCATTTGAATGAATATTCATGACAGCCCTAGGCCCTATAATAGGCTGGCCCACTATGCGATGAGGATCATCTGGATCTGTACCATTCAACTTATCTGGCATGTCAGGGACAAGGCTGGACCAGATCTATAAGGAAGGGTGTGAACACAGACCCTGACTTTCCTTTAGTCAGGGAGGGAGGGTGCTCAAGCCACCCCAGATACCACCTCCCACTCTAACCCTTCTTTCTAAGGCTCTGCACTGTCTCTTCCCTCTCCCATACTGCCCCTTCCTTGCCTCTTTCTGCCCCCTCCCCTGTATACACCCTATCCCTGCTCCTTCCCCTCCTCCCAGGGGCTTTAGTGTGCCATGATACACTGTTTATGGCAGGCAGAAGGTGCATGGAGGGAGGAACTTGATTTGCAGTGAGTGCTTATTTTTCTGCATGGGTGCTTCAGCCACAGAGCACTCATGGAGTCAGTGCCTGTGTGTGTGATTATGACAATATATGCACGTTACAGAGAGGTAGCCATGTTAGTCTGCAATTGGAAAAACTTAAAAAACAAATAGTCCTGCAGCACCTCAGAGACTAACAAAACATGTAGATGGTATCATGAACTTTTGTGGGCACCACCCACTTCACAAGTGGGTGGTGCCCACGAAAGCTCACGATACCATCTACATGTTTTGTTAGTCTCTGAGGTGCTGCAGGACTATTTGTTGTTTTTTAAGTTTTTCAAGTATGTGCAAGGACTGAGATAAAAGATAACATTAACTCTAACATTAACATTAATAGTTACAGCTATTTTTGTTGTGGTTTTCTATCTCTATTAATTGTGGCAATCAAAGTAGTTAAAGCTCTGCTTTGCTCTCAGTGAGTGTGTTGTGTGCACACTCCTTTCCAAGCAGATATTGAACTTGATAACCTTGATTCTATTGTGTTTGGTTTTGGGACTAAAATCCTACAATTCCCCAGGTCTTCACATTAGTAATTAGCTGGAAATCAATAATAATCAACCACAAATGAATTAGACAAGATTAAAAATCGAATAACAGGTTTTTACAAAGAATCAGTGCCGATTTAATTCCACATTTTGGAAAATACACAAGATAAAAACTTAATTTAGAGTTAGGGATTTTCAAGCAACAGAATAGTGTTAGTAGCTGATAACTGTTAAATCAGCCTTAATACACAAAAATACAAAATTACAGAGGTCTCTAAATTAAAACTAAATCAAACTAAACTAGACACCAGTACATTGTTAGATTTAAATCCTAAACCTACCACTTAATTAAATTACAAATTTTAGGATATAACTTTGTTTTAAACCTGCTTTACAATTGCATAATTAAAGACAAGAAAATAAACAGTAAGTCAGCAAGTCCTTCATTAAGGAAGGAATTTGTAAAGCATTAAAACTAACAAGGAAAGATTCACGGAAACTTCTTGCTTTGCTACAGAAAAGCTGTTTCTTTAGGAACCATCTTTGCCCTCCTAACTTTCTACCTCCCCTTTTCCTTTTTTAATGCTGCACTCTGACTGACCTTATCACTGGCTTTTGTGATAGAGAGGGGAAGCTCTTTCTAACTCTTTAAGATAAACTTAAAAAACAACAAATGGTGTGGGAGCACTTTATAAACTAACAAAACATGGTAGCACTTTTTAAACTAACTTCTGAAGTGGGCTGTGCCCACGAAAGCTCATACCATCTACTTGTTTTGTTAATCTATTAAGTGTTCCCAGACCATTTACTGTTTTTAAGTTTATCTTGTACAGACTAACTCGGCTACCCCCTGAAGTTTCTAACTCTTCAGGGTATTTTTCATAGAAGGCGGGTATAAGAGACGAGGAGAGACAATACCTCCCCATGGTCTTATTGCTCCCCTCTTCCTATCCAGGACTATGCTGACCTTTCCTGAAAGCTCCCATAGCATCTTGCAGACTGGTGACTTCCTTTCTCCTTCCCCTCCCAAAAATGACTTTAACACATTTCCAACTTACGAGATCTATTAGCATAATATTGAACCTGTGGAAGAGCCGTTAATCGGTAATGAAATCATTTAACGGGCATGTGCCAATCCTGTGTACTGGCACAAAGTTGTTCATTACTATGTTACAGGACCTTCGTTTAAAATTTGCTTTAAAAATTTAATTAGTTTGTGGCTGAAGATTATAAAATCACATTTATCTAAAAAAATTGATGCATAGATATTTAAATGCACAATCTGAATTCAGCTTTAGCCATAAATGCTTGGTTCTTCAGACATATAATTTTTTAATTAATTCTTCAAAAGACCATCCTTATTTATAACACACATTTTAGTTACTATATTATCAAACTTTGCTTCTAAAATCCTTTCTATCCCTCCCTACGCTCCTTTCATGGACCTGCTGATAGCCCTTAAAGGGACAATATTCCTTTTCTTCCAGATAGCTGGACAAATGAGTTTCCCTTTTCTGACTATTTGATGAACTATTTGACGTGTGAAGTCAGTGGCCACTGGCACAAAACACTTTGAAAACTTATGAGGCTGAAGAAAGAATGAAGCGCATAGCTGTGAACTGGAAATGGCACTGGCCCAATGTGCTGTCATGTTAGGATTGTTAGTAACTTAATACTTACAATCACAGAAACTGAGAATGCCAAGTGGTTAAAGCAGGCTTTGTTTCAGTAACAAAATACAAAGGCTTTGTGAAGTGTTCCATTGTGCTGGGAATGCTACTCCATGAAGCTGGCGTGATCTTACTGTTTAAATCCTCTTGGGAACAGTTTGGAATAGAAAATATGATCTGAAAATTTACTTTCTATGACAAACGTCTGCTGCATACAAACCATGGCCAAACTTATGTAGCCTGGAAACCCCTTCTACTTTGTCACATCCGGTTTGCCAGCAATGCAGGTGTTTCCAAAGATAGCTCTTAAAATAAACAAACACAACTACTGTACATTTAATACTTCAAAAACCCCAAGAGGCTGATTCTGAGCTATGGTTAATGACTACTCAGCATAGCAGAAGCGGATACAAAGGTATCCAACATACTCCCAATATGGGAACACGTATTGCAGTCCAGCTAGTCATGGCTCCAAACAGATGAGATCAAATCATTTCTGTCTATGTCCTACCCTAAAAAAACATAGCGACGCCACTATCACATACTTGTTAATAGCTACTACAATGGTGATAATCACCAAACTATTTTTCAATTGCTCAAAACAAATTGGGAGAAAAGTGATAGAGCTGAGAATCCAGGTCTCCTGAGAACAAGTCCGCTGCTCACGTGACAAGAATCATGATGTGGGGCTTTCTGAGTTATCAGAGGCAACATACAGGAATGTTGCAGAAACTAAGCACTACCTTTAGAAACACTACCAAAAAATAAGCAGAGAGGTTGAAATTTTCCACCAGCAATGAAGGCAGTAGGTGTGGGCTACAGATTTAGGATTTTCATAAGCTTGAAGTTTGGTATCTTAAAAATATGTTCAAGTATTATTTAAACGGAGTAGTTAAATCAACATATTTTTCAAAAAGTTACAACTTAAAACTAGCTTCTCATGAATTTAGAATTAGAGCCACATTTCCTATCTCTCAAACTTAAGATGGCAACCTTATTTTTGAGTGCTAATTATTTTTTATTACAAGTGAAACATACATTTTTAGTGACCATCTTTATAACAGATTCAGATCAGCTTTATAATAGATTCAGATCTCTTACATCACGTGACATGTTAAATTTTAAGTATTTATCTTCTTGCCTTTTAAACCTTTTGGAACTAGGTATATGGCAGAAAAAACATTCATTTCATGCATTCCACCTGTTTCAAAATATAATGCATCTTACTGTGATTAGCTATTAGTGACCATGTTGTAACCAAGGATTACGTAGTTTCTGGTAGCATATGGTCATCTATCCATTAAGCAAATCCTTTAGGCAAGATTTTGTAGTAAGAAACTGAAAGACTAAATAAGGCCTTGAATAGCTTTATTGAAATCTGTATAAATAAACATGCGCATTTCAAATGTAAACCCAAGTGAACTCAAGTGCAGACAAAATTTTAACCTCTGTCATGCAGGAGGTTAGTTTACATTAAAAAAAAAAACTCAGAAAGCAGCTTTAAAATACCAGGATGAAACACCAGCTTTAATATCAAGGTATAATGCAAAGCCATGTCCAACATACCTCATTTATATCCTGGTCAAATGCAATTTTTTAAACTTTTTAATGCTAACATAAATAAATAATTTACCAAAATGTGCACTCACAGAGTGAACTTTTATTTACAATACACAATTTATAACCTATTGTATTTGATTAGTTCAAGTGAAGAACATCATACTTTTTGCTTTTCATAACAGTGGGACACAAAGCAATTCTTCAGGTAGTAGATATGTGAAGTGTGACCCCACATTTAAGAGCTCCTATCAAAGGCAGTATTGTATACAAATCAACAATACATTCTTCCAACTAGTTCAAAGGGAAAGCAGCAAATTAAAAATGTTTCAAACTGTCACACTTATTTTTGGCATCCTGGACTCTTGAACATGGTTAACTAAAATCCAGTTCAAGGTCTGTATGCTTTATATACTGTACAGGTTCTGACTCTTGAACATGCAAATGCCAATTCTCCTATAATAAGTTACCTTTTGAGATAAGCTGTAAGGCTATGGTGAATTCCATCAGGAACACACAAAGAAAATTAACAGACCTACCTTTAAAACCAACTGTCCATTAACAATTTAAAGGCAAGTTATCTGGAAAAATTTCTTTCATCTAAGCCTGACACACAGTCATTACTATGGATATAGAATACGAAGGTAGAATAATAAGGACAGAATACTGTCCCTATTACAAAGTGGTTTGAAAGCTGTCAAACTACTAACATGGGAGGGAAACTTACAGCACAATTTTAAATTTTGGACTGACACCAGATTAAAGTTATGCATGTCTTATAAGCAAGATAACAGGAATTATAATGTCTACAGAACAGATCCAACAAGCAACAAGGGATACTTACATTTAATTGAAAAACGTTTGTTAATTCAGCATGAAATCCAGAACCTGTCCCACAGCAGCAATAAGATGAATACAATATTCTGGATGTTTTAACTATACCACAAAAGGTTAAAACACCTTTTTCTTCTATCATGATTGAGTTTAAAATTGTCCAACATTAATTTTTGGGGAGAAACTTGAAAATTTGGTGTTTGAGGAATACTACTTATCATATGTATGCTATATGTACTAGCTAAAAAATAGCAGTACATGAGACAGCCTAATACACATGAATAAAATCATCCAAAAACTAGGCTCTCTGCAATAGTATTCTTGTAGTACTAAGAAAATAAATGACCCAATTCAAATTTAACATTTTAGTTATTAACTCACATTCAAAATGAAAAAAACATAATTCATCAAAACAGCAGCAGAAAACTTAAAAGGGGTTTATTTGTGATTTCCTATAGATAGCTTGTGAATACAAGACTGTAAATGTATTAGAGACAATTTCTGTTAAAGTTTTCATTGTGTTTCACTTCAAGTACTGCACATGTTAAAATGCAATAAAGGATTTACATTCTGTCATCTGAAATTCCCCATCTCAGATTTTATTTTTAATTTGGTGGGCAATTTCATTATTTCAATAGAAAGCTCCAATGAGAAAGTCTTGCTTTTTATGGCTTTTAGGTCTTCCATTAGTTAGTATGCATACAATTTTCATTTTCTATATCATTTTCATTTTCATTGCTGTATTCATCACTCTCTAATGGGATGCCCGTGGCAGCTGAAGCACCTTGTTTAGTTTCTCGGTCAAGAGGGAAAAAGCCAGTTCCGCTGATAGTGTCCTGTCTCTGGTAGAAGAGCACATATGCTGCTTTGGACTGTCAAACAAGAAAAAACATAGTAGGTTAATGATCAACAAAGTAAAATATTTTGCTGTTTGGTTTATTCATTGTCTTCTCTCTCTCCAACTGCCCACATAAATGGATTGTTTTTCAGTATTTCTTCCTTCCCATGGACTTCATGTTGGAAGCCTTGCCTTTTTTATTGTTTTAATCCTGGTCTGAATTTTAAATATAATTCAACCTAACTACAGGCAGTCCCCAGGTTACGTATAAGATAGGGACTGTAGGTTTGTTCTTAAGTTGAATCCGTATGTAAGTCGGAACTGGCGTCCAGATTCAGCCGCTGCTGAAACTGATCAGTTTCAACAGTGGCTAAATCTGGACACCAGTTCCGACTTACATACAGATTCAACTTAAGAACC